GGGCTGATCGTCGACTTCAAAGCACGTATGGTTGCGCGTGGTTTTTCTCATATTTCCGGTGTGGATTTTCACCACCCATCATCCGCATGCCCTTCCGCAGTGTCCATCAAAACTATGGTGGCCGTATCCACCGAGAATGGTAGGAGGCCTGTCCACTGGGACATCAAGCAGGCGTACACACACGCCAAGCTGAAGGAAGAAATCTACCTGAGGCTTCCAGACGGTTGTGGTGTTTGGACTGGCAAGGCGGTGAAAGTCGAGCGTGCTCTGTATGGACTCAAGCAGAGTGGGCGCGAGTGGGGGTTTGAGGCTGCCGATGCCCTGATCTCAAACGGCTACGAGCAGTGCAGGGTGGACCCCTGCATTTTCCGCAAGGTGGTTGACGGAGAAGTCGTAGGTCTCATCGTGATCTACGTGGATGACATCATGTTGTCCGCGACCGAGGAGGAGCGTGAAGAGTTGCTAGCGTCTCTCCAGAAGAGATTCCCTGTGAAGGATCTAGGAGATTGTACCTGGTACGATGGGTGTGCCATTGAGGTGGACCTTGAGAATGGTACCACCAAGCTGTCCCAGACGGCTTATATCGAGAGCATGCTCAACCGCTTCAATGTCACGACCACTGCTCCCACGCCCGCTGTCGTCGACGATGACCTAGGGCCGAAGAGAGACGACGAGTCCTCGGTGGACAAGCCCGTGAGGGAAGCGATCGGATGCCTGATGTGGTTGCTGTTCACGAGGCCGGACATCGCGCTGCCTTTGAACAAGCTGCAGAAGATCGCCCACTCACCCACCGAGAGGATGTGGAACGCGCTTGTGCGGATCATGTCCTACCTCAACGAGACGAAGGACCTCGGGATCACCTACGTCCGCGGATCAGGGCTAGACCTAGACGTGTTCGTCGATTCTAGTTACGCCGACAGCACCGTTGACAGGCGTTCGACGACGGGGCTAGCCGTGACTGTAGGTGGGACCGTAGTGTGCGCATCCACGAAGACACAGCCAGTGACGGCTCAGTCGACCACGGAGGCAGAGTATATTGCAGCCGGGGAGGGCGTGAAGGAAGCGTTGTTCGTGCGTGGTGTTCTGTCGTTCATTGCGCCCGAGACGAGCGGTGCCACGATCAGGGTCCGTGAGGACAACGAGGGGGCTCTCGCGTTGGTGCAGAACCCTTTCAGCTCGGCGAGGAGCAAGCATATCGACGTGCGGTTCCACTTCATCCGCGAGCTCTTCAAGGCGGGCAAGATCACCGCAGATTATGTCTCGACAGAAGAGCAGCACGCCGATATGCTGACCAAGGTCCTTGGTAGGGGCAAGTTGGAGTACCACCGGAAGGCTCTGATGAACCTGCCGATGTAGGGTTCTGGTCTCGTTTTCGTGGCGTTTGTTTTGTTTTGTTCTAGCACTGGGCGCGTCTCGGACCATGGTATGTCACGCAAGAAGCGTTGGCCAGGGGCGTCACCCGCGGCGGGAGCTTAGGGGTTTTGATCAATTGCTTCGGGTGTGTAATCAGCATGGTCTGTCCAATCTGTCCTGCCTTGGTCCTGCCCTGATAGTGCGGCCGTTGGAATCCTTCGTGATAGCGACGGTCTCTTTTATGTTTTGAGTTTGTAGGCGAGGGTTTTTGATCCGGATGGCCGAGTTTTTTTCCTTTGCACCCGTTGTTGTATGAGTAACTTAAGTAGATCTGGAGTATCCATGCCCCACTGATGGTTTGTCAATAGCTTGACGAACCGGGGAGGGTGTTCGTGTGTCTGGATACGAGCATGGTAGATCTGCTAGCAGCACGGGGGGGTACGTAGACAGGAGCATGCGTATGCCTGAAAAAGGCTACTATATGTGGGCCCCTCTTCCCGAATTCGGGAGGGCCACTTCTTCCCTTCCTTTCCTCGCTCCCGCGGGTGCCTAATCAGAGAGAGTTAAAGCGTGTCTTCTCCTCCCAAGTACGGACATACCAACAACACCTCCGGACATGTCTTGCTTCTTTGTGCCCGGGGCTGCGGGACGCGTATCCCCGGCAAAGCAAAACGCCTACACAACACAGCAGCAGCAAGCAATACAGCAGGCAATCCACAAGTGCACAACAGCCGCCAGGCACAGGCTGCTCTACTGCATGGCTGCTACTGCTGCAACAGACGCCGCCATTACAATTGTAGCAGAACGGATTGCACTGCAATAAAGCACCATACCGACTACAACGCACAGCCAGCAGCAACAGTTTGTTCATGGTAGCAGCTACTTCTCTTTGTGAATGTTTCGGGGCGAACCACACAGAGCAGCGTGGCCAACCCTCCCTTCAAAGCGTGTACATGGACAGGTATAACCACACATATGCATACATCATCGACGAAGACACATACACAACATACGGCGTCATCACAGCAGTTGCTGCACGTATCTCTCTCTTTCTCTCGATCTGCCCGACTCTATCATGCTTTCTCTCTTGACTGAAAGTAAGTACTGCTGCATTGGGACGGAACCGCCGCATGCCCCCCCCCCCACTACAACTTGTTCAAGCAGGGGAGGGGGCCGGGGGCAACACCTCCGAATATACTGTGTTTAGACCTCGAACGGGTAGTCTTTCTGTGTTAGTTGTCTGCTAAACATGTCAATCACCTCTGGTGTTGTGTTATCATGATGATGGGCGGGCCCTCCAAAAATAGCCCGTAGTCTGCAACACAACAACATCCAGGTTCAGCGAGCGAAAAATCTTGCCAAGCAACTCCCACGCCACCACATTTCAACTAGCCCACCTTCAACGGACTTTGCGCGACCACGTGCGCCGCACGTCCGAGCACGATGAAACATCGCTTGAAGGTGTCGTCTGGGTGTTTCTGCCAGAAACCCGGTGGTGGGTGCGGGGAATGATCCATGAAGAATGAAGCCGTCTTGCATAAGACAGAAGATGCAGTGTTGGCGCGAAGCACACAAGGAGAAGGACAGCCAACGATAAACAGAGACAAATGCCCACAAAATTGAATACACGTTTGCATCATAAGAGGCCAAATGGTACGAAGACGGGGGAACGATAGACAGCTACAGACGAGGCGGGGGCAGGGGGCTAGAGAGGAAAGACAGAGAGGTGTAGCGACAGAGAGCGAAGCACCAGCCCGTTCCAAATCTACAAGTCTATTCGGTTCGCTTTCCTTGAACCTCTTTGATACTTGGACATGAAATTAGGAGTATAAAATTTGGGAGGGAGCAAAAATAGTTGGGGATAAAACACACAGCGTTCTTCTGATGATATCTTCTATGAAAACAAGATTACCGTATATGACACAAGATAACGCACCCCCTGGACCGATTTTCAAAGCTCGATTACTCCACGACGAAGGGGATGCATGAACGAAACGATACATTTTCGACAAGCTCTGGACGAGACGGTTTCAACGCCGCTGTTTTCGGCTATGACTGTTCCTGCAGTTGAGAAATCGAGCTTCGAAAATTGGTCAAGGGGGTGTGTTATCTTGTGTCATATACGGTAAGTCGTTCCAAGTGCACAGCAGCATTTGACCTGCGAGGGGGGGAACCAAACGGCCGGCATCAACGCTTCATACTTCAAACAAAATTAACAGAGCAGCAGCAGTGCACATAGTTTCCTGTAGTGCAGTACACACACGTGTTGTTGTTTGTAGTACACACGAGGTAGGGACGGTACCAATGTGGCACAAGATACTACACCCTATGTCGCACGGGTAATTCTATTTACGACACCGGTGTCGTAATTCTTATTTACGACACCGCCAATATCTCAGCCCACAGAGCTCTGATTGGCGCCAAACCAATTGCGTTGGGTAGATATGACTCGTGGCTATCACCCAAGCGTTTTGGGGGCGAAATCCGGTCAGTGGTTGC